CTTCTTTTGCTTAATCGGCCAACATGCTGGGTCGACGTTAAGCTTATGAGAGATGAGGTCTGGACTTATTCCAGGCATGTCAGCTGCCGAGAAAGCAAACACATCTCGGTTGTCCCGAAGGAGTTGGATGAGCTCAACGCGAACTTTCGGATCAAGATCCAGCCCGATTGTAACACATTTTTCAGCGTCTCCCTCGGTCAACTCGACCTTTTCGGTCTGCTGATCCAGCTCCATTGTTGTGGGGCTGGACTCTTCGCATTCTGGTCTGCTGTCTATGTCAGTAGGGATTCCAGATTTTTTCTTTTTTGGCTGGCTCTCTAAGTCCTTCGGCTCAGATGATGAGCTAGCCTTTTCTTTTCCTAGCCCTTTTTCTTTGGCCAGGTCTCCTTGAGCCGAAGCACTTAGGCCTTTCGGCTTCTCCGCGCTCGACTGCTTATCTTTCTCCTCCTCATCCTCATCGTCATCTTTTGTACGACTGGTGGATGGCTTTAGGTAGTTGCATCTTCGGGCCTCCTTTTGGCTGCCCTTGATCCTTTCGGGGTAGTCAGCATCCGAGACATAGATCATCAGTTGGTGGTATGTTGAGACTACCCCTTGGATCTCGTGAATGATGGGTCTCCCCATGATCACGTTGTACACAGAAGGAGCATCAATGACCAGAAATTCGGTCATGACGTTCATGGCTGCTTCGTCACAGCCGATGGTGACAGGAAGTGTTACCTTCCCATCTGGATAAGTTAAAGCTCCATTAAATCCGGACACCGGGTAGGGTACCGACGTGAGGTGCTTGGGCTTCAGCTTGATTTGAATGTAGGCCTTTCGGAACAAAATGTTTGCTCCGATGCCACCATCAACAAGGACCTTGCTGACGTCGTGGTTGGCCACCATGGCGATAATCACCAACGGATCCTCATGAGGATACGTCACCCCCCGATAGTCGGCGGATGTGAACGTCATGTTCGGCACCGGGGACTGGGGCGGCTAAATACTAGCATTATTCACCTGGTGGGTCAGAGCTCTAAGGTGACGTTTGTGCTCCCTCCGTGAATATATTCCTCCCGATATAACGTTGATCGGAGGAAATTTTCCCTCCGCATTTTTGCTGTTCTTTCAGGGGAAATCAAGCTCTTGCCGAGAGTCCCTGTCAGACTTCTCAACCTCTTTTTTCTCGCGGTGATCCGCGATGTCTTTTTTCAAGTATCCCTTCGGAACCATATCCTCGATTTGGTCCTTCAGCTGGATAAACTCTTCAGTGTTGTGTCCCGGTAATTCATGGAACTCACACCACTGACTTTTATTTTTGCGCTGATACCACTCTAGGAGCGGTCTTGGCTTCCTGTAGCTCTGCTCTTCCTTCGTCACGCTGTAAATTTTAGCGCGCGGAAGGGCCAGCGGAGTATAGGATTCGTATCTCCCCGTGAAGGAAGCAAATTTTTCCTTCTTCGGCTCATTGGCCGAAGATTGTTCGGAGGCTTTCGCCTTACCCTTTGCCTTCTGGCCTTGGCCTTCGGACGATTGTTTTTGCTTCCCACCCCCAGATTGGGGTTGGGATTTTGTTTTGTTCCACTCTTCAGCTCGGATGAATTTATCCGAAGCGTTCAAAGCTTCCTCCAAGGTCTGCGGAGGATGCATGACCATGAAATCAAGGAACTTTCCTGGCTGAAGGCCGTTCTGCATTGCAAAGACGGCCAGCCCTTAGTCCAGCTGGGAGACGCTGGATGACTTGTTGCTGAAACAAGTTTGGTGTTCCCGGAGACTCTCGGTCTCCCCTTGCTGCAGGCCCATGAGCTCTGCAGTGCTTTTCTCTCGGCGGTTTGCCGTGGAGAATTTGCTCTTGAACTTGGTGGACAGGTCATCCCACCCCATTATAGAGCCTTCCTTCACTCCCTTGGAGATCCACGCTTGCGCGTCCCCCTTGAGAGTAGTGGGAAAATATTTGCACCAGGTCGCTTCGGACCTGGGGCAAAGATGCATGTGCCCCTCGTAAGAGGCAATGTGGTCCTTTGGATCCGAAGTTCCATCGTATGTAATGTGCGACGGGATTTTAACCGGCGGCACATGCTCTTCCAGAATCCATTGCTCGAATGGAGAACTGGTAGGAAGCATCACGGCCTTGCCCTTGTTCCTGGCCGAAGGGACCGCGCTCTGTCCTCTTAGAGAGGTAAGAGTGGTTTTCGTCCCTGGCTGGGAAGTTCGGGCCTCGGCTACAGGGAATGAGAGGCGGCTATGCACACTCGGATCCCTGCCGCCGAGCCGGTCGAGGGCACTTCGGCAAACAGTCTCTGGCCGCCCTCGGCGAACAGTCTCTGGCCGAGAGGCAGAGCTACTGCTCTTGTGAGTTTTTGGCCGAGAGGTAGAGGATCCTTTGAAAAAGTGGGGGTTCTTTTTCCTTTCTTTTTCAGTTCTCCAAGTGTCCTCTTCCCACTCTTCCAGCTCCCTGAAGGAGGGAGATTTCTCCCCATCCTGGTTGAGCTTCCTCCGCTAATGCCTGGTATGCGGAGGAGTTCGGTCACGAGGAGGAGGCATGTTCTGAGCTTTCATTGCCTCCATGAGCACCGCCAGTGCTCTCGCCACCTCTTCCAAGCTAGGCCCCGTTAAAGGGGTCCTCCGCTGAGTGTGAGAGTGAGAATGGATACTCAAAGGTCTGCTTTGAGGCACTAATTAAGTCCTACGATCAGACTGACTTTTGTTAGACCGAGGAGGACTCGGTCTATGATGAGATTGGTGAATTATGGTAGAAAGGGAATCATCCTGGTACGCTTCTCCCGAACTGGCACCCTTGGAAGAGTTTTGGTTTGGAGAAGGTGATGGTGTAGGAGTCTTAGGCCTTTCGCCTGCTCCTTGACTTACTCGCTTGCGATTCTTAGCCATTATTACTAAGATTTTTGCAAGATGATTCTGATTGGCGTAAAGATTTTTAGAAAGTCTTCCCCACAGACGACGCCAAATTGTTTCGGGTGAAAACAATGGGACCTTGCTGAAGGTCCAATGAAGTGGATGAAGACTAATCCGATCCAAATGGTGCTGGGCCGAAGGTTTCCTGCACAGCAAACACACGTAAACTGACCTCGGGGGTGGTTCCGAGGAAAGCCCCTCCGATGCCGAAGTCAAATGGTGTTTAGAGAGAGAGAGTTATGCAAGAGAGTTAATGCTTGAGGCTTGAATGTGAATATGTGATAAATGATGTAATTGAAGGCTTTTATACCTTAGCTTGGCAAGGAGAGGAGGTGGGCCGGACCTCGTCATGGGCTGACCATGAGTATTTGAGCCGCTTGACTTTATGTTGACTTGGCAAAATGGAGGCTTGGGCCTTGACCTTGGATTAAATCATTTTATGACTGGGTCCAATTAGGCTTAATTGGACCCCAAACAACTTGCCCCCCAGACCCGATTTGGAGGGATGACGGGTCGGGTTTGAATTCAATAAAAATGGAGGGAAGTAAATGATTTAATTAAATCAAAAGATTTAAATTTTAAAGAGTCATTAACGAAATAACTGTAATTAGGATAATTAGTGGGAAGTTGAACGGATAATGGGCAGTTAACTTAAGTATTCATTATTTCATTAGCATTTCCTTGCTCTTCTTCTGTTTGTCAACAAAAAGAAGAAAAAAAAAAAAAAAAAAAAAATCATTTCTTCTAAACGAAAAATTGTTTATACTTTGTATATCACTCAGATGTTAGATTTTATATTACTGGTAAATTCCTTTCACCCCAAAAATTATGCCACTGTATAGATGTGTCAAATTTAATCATGTCAATTACGGACTATTAATTATAGGAGGAAGGGAGCTAATAAGCATTTTTCAAGTCATAAGTCATATGGAGTAACTAGTTTACGGAAAATGTCCTCATCCAAGACCTTGTGAATGTTGTGATACATAGACAAGTTTCGCTAACTTTGACAATACAACAAGTCAACGAAAAGGCAAGTGCAACGCCTGCTGACTGCTGACGATGAAATAGATTAAAGGCATGTAAGTCGCTTCTAAATTTAGTCATGTATGTATCTTGCCAAGAGTCGTTGTCTTTAGGTGTCTCTTTATCTAGAAATTATTCTAATTTTAAAGGAATGTCAATGCTAAATTATGCTGTAATAATTTATTTGTACTTTAGATTTGGGTTATCCTTTAGAATACTAACTTCATATTAAAGAAAAAATTTATATGATCTTATAGTGTAGGTTGGGTTTGAACTTGTCTTATCTGAATTATTAGAATTTATTTGAAGAGCAACTACAATGGTTGGCTAATTTATTTAATAGCTTGGCATGCCACATCAACTTCTTAAGTTACAACAATTCAAGCTATTTGTTGCTCCAATGGTTAAGCTAGTTGTAAATTAATTTATTTTCAAATTAACAATATTTTAAATCTAATAAATATTTGCCAAACTAATTAGCTCTACAAAGCTAATTTGCTTGCCAAAGCTAATCAACAAGATGTGCAACAATGGTGTAGCTACTAGCTTAAGATTTTTAATATTTGCAAGTTAGTCCCTTTTTCCAACCATTGGAGTTGCTAATCAACCATCATTTTAATGGATTTGTGTAATGGCCCTATTATATTATATTCCGTATTATTTAATTTATGAACCCTTATGTATCCTAGCTAATTAAAACTTATTAACTCGTATATAATCTTGTTTGAATTTAGCCATTACTTAGTAAACAAATATGCAATAAGTGAAAATAGGAAGACAGAAAACATAGGCTAATTAAAATTGTTAATTAAGTACGGAGAATATAATTTTCTAGTTAATAAAAAAAATGGCATGAAATTTTTCATGTTCATTCTTTGATTATGTGGCTAGTCATTGACAATATAATCAAACAAAGATTTATCTATTACGAAGTATAATTTGTTGATATTAAATCAGTAAAGTCTTTTTAAAAATTCTTTGCATTCCACACTTGGACTAAGCTAAACCGTTACCGAGCCCTATATAACACCCTTTTATTCGACAAAGTTGTAGAAACTCCAAGTCTCCAAAAACAACCCTTGAACTAAAAAGAGTTGTGCATCGATCGTACCTCTTTTTAAAGTTTTGCAAAGAAGCTTATTAGACTCAAATGGCAAATAAGATGGCAACAACTCGAGAAATCCGAAATTCCCAAAGAGCAGATGATCCAGCCACTATCCTAGCCATTGGCACTGCAAACCCACCCAATGAAATGACCCAAGATGAATTTCCTGATTTTTACTTTCGAGTTACTAAGAGTGAGCATATGACCGATCTCAAGGAGAAATTTAAGCATATGTGTAAGTCTTATCACGTTATCTTTCTTCATGTTAACCATCATGCATATTAACTTTTAGGTTGCCTTTGTTTTCTTGGTATATACTACCCTTTAAATTTTTGACAATTGTATAATATAATTGGTTCCAAAAACTTTATACAAAATTTAATTTAAAGTATTGAATTGGGTAAATTGACACGGCCTAGAAATGTTTATTAGCTTATTGTGATCCCATCTAGGTTAAGTGGACTTTATAAACTATATCCCTTCATAAGAGAAAGAAACGAGAATTGATTAGTTATTATGTTTTTCACTTACACGCAAGAAATCAACTGTCAAGAAGCGATACATGTACCTAACAGAAGAATTATTAAAAGAGAACCCGAATATGTGTGATTACCACGCCTCATCTTTAGACACTCGCCAAGACATACTAGCAATTGAGGTGCCCAAACTTGGAAAAGAGGCAGCTATTAAGGCCATCAAAGAATGGGGCCAGCCACGGTCCAAGATCACCCACGTCATTTTCTGCACCGTATCAGGTGTATCCATGCCTGGGGCAGACTACGAGCTTACTAAACTCCTCGGCCTAAGACCTACTGTTAAGCGTTTTATGCTCTACCAGCAGGGTTGTTATGGCGGGGGCACGGTCCTCCGTCTAGCCAAGGACATTGCAGAGAACAGTCGTGGAGCACGTGTTTTGGTAGTCTGCTCAGAAATGACAGTAGTTGGCTTTCGAGGGCCTACTGAGACACACTTAGACTCGATGGTAGGACAAGCCCTCTTCACTGATGGTGCAGGGGCTGTGATCGTGGGTGCTGATCCTGACGAGTCTGTCAACGAACAACCGATTTTTGAACTTGTATGGGCCTCCCAAACCTTCTTGCCGGGGTGCGAAAGGGCCATCGCAGGACAGCTGCGACAAGTAGGATTGACCATTCATTTAGCAAAGGACGTACCAAAGTTAATATCTAACAACCTTGAAAAAACATTGACAGAGGCTTTTAAACCTATTGGTATAAATGATTGGAACTCCATCTTTTGTGTTGCTCATCCTGGAGGGCCTGCTATCCTAGATGAGGTGGAAACCGAACTCGGCCTTGACAAGGACAAGCTCAATGCAACTCGACATGTACTTAGCGAGTTTGGAAACATGTCTAGTGCTTCTGTATTGTTCATCTTGGATGAGACAAGGAAGAGGTCATTCAATGAAGGCAAGGCTACAACTGGTAACGGGTTGGATTGGGGAGTCTTGTTTGGGTTTGGGCCTGGTATTACTATTGAAACTGTTGTGCTCCATAGTGTCCCAACGAAATTAGCTTGATTAAGGCAACATCCGATGCATTGACACTTTATAAGACCAATGCAAATGTATTGTACGCTCTATGTTTCAAATAAATACTCGTACTTCAGTTTGTAATTTATTTTTTGTAAAAGAAAGAGACGAGACTTATATTACATAGGGGTGATTGAGGAACATCCCTGAGAACCTTGAAACAAAAGGAAGTACAGGTTACCCTGCAAAGGGGGGAAAATTAAAAAAGTTTGTAGACAAAGCAAGAGAACAGGCTGCAAAGGGGAAAATTAGCAACCCTGAATTCCTGAACTAAGCAACCAAAATAAAAAACAGACATAAGGTTAATAGAAAAGAACTGAAAAAAACCAGGAATAAAAGGAGAAGCAGTAACATCATCAGAACTTGTAGACAGTAAGAGGCCTAGGAGAGAAAGCAGCTGCGGGATCAGCAAGTTCTCACCATTTCAAGGGAATGGGCCAGCTTGTAGCGTAATAAGGTTTTGATGATTGTAAACTAATGATGATTATCTATCTAACGTGTTTGTTAAGTTGTGCATAGAAAGAACAAGTTATACTTGGAACAGGATACAAGGAACCTGAGCAATGACAAGTATATAAGGAACTTAAGCAATATATGATAAGCAATAGAAGAACAAGAACAATGATGAGTGTTATGGTTGATAAGCATGATGATGGCTAAGGAACCATGAAGTTAACTATGTAAATAGGTGTTTGCATATGTTAGCTTCATAAGGTAAGTACACTATGCATACATGAGTTGTATATGTGTAGGAGTATTTACATAAGCTTTAAGTTTAATTAGTTCTCTCACTTGAAGTTTGTTTATGACAAACAAACTTCAATCTAATGTTTCTCTTAAGTGTTTATGTGAAGACAGGAACTGACTTAGGTAAAGTCAATGGGTTGGAACATAAAAGACTTCAAGAGGAACAAGAGAGAATGAATGAACCTAAAGCAGGTTCTCCCACAAGAACCAAACCACGAAGGAACCAGAAGATATTCTCTACGAGATGCAGAAGGAACCTTTGGCAGGCTTTCCCACGAGAGCCGGAGCATGTTCCCTAACAGGTACATGAAGAGTTCTATGTTCCCTTACATGTACATGAAGAGTTCCCTAACAGGAACTTAGTTCTCTAACAAGAAGTATCTAAGTTCCCTAACAGGAACTTGCCCCGAGATCTAGAATACATCAATACTACAAGATTCCAGAACAAGAGTTTCAAAGAAACAACATGAAGACGGAGAAATCGAAATATATCGCTCTAGGATTCATGTAAGTATGTTGGACATAAAAGTCAGTGTGGAACAAGTCTAAAGAACCAAGGTGAACTCATGATAGTCAATGAAATTAGAGTAACTGACTTGTTAGGAACTCAGAGACTGTCAAAGTTCCGAAACCTAATCAGAACTTAGGTCTGCACGTCATTAAAGGTCGCAGGTCAAATTTAATGATATAAAAATTTACCTAATACGTGCATATCTTTTAGGGATTTGGTTTTACAGAATTAAAATATTTATTTTCTAATAAATCCGTTTTGGAAAAAGATAAGTTATTTTTGGAAAATATTTTCAGTAAAATAAGTTTTAAATAAAATCTAATTTTATGGCAAGTATATCTTTGTTAAAAGATATGGTAAATATATCTTTTGTATAAAGATATGGTAAGTATACCTTTTATAAAAAGATATGGCAATTATATCTTTTGTAAAAAGATATATCTTTTGTAAAAAGATATGGTAAGCATATCTTTTGTTAAAAGATATATTAGTATATTTGGAAAATATAAGATTTAGATAAAATCTGATTTTATGGTAAATGTATCTTATTATTATTGATAGAATATATTCTTAACAAAAGATATATTTTTGGAAAACTTATTTTTGGAAAATATCTTTTATGTCTATCTTTAATAAAACTTATCTTTTACGAAAAGGATGATTTGGGTGTACTATAAATATGCTCATATGTATTCATTCAAAGTCGAGGTTGACGAAGTGCAGTGGTCGTGCTTAATGTTTTCATCCTTCACCACGAAGCTAAGTCAAACCTCCATATCGAAGTTCCAGTCAAGTTCCAATTACAGCTCGTCCAGTAAGTTCCAGACAGATCTCAACTGTCCAACATATTAGTTTTATCTCTTTATTCATTGGTATGTATTTAGAGTTATTCTTTGAGATCTTGTAATTGGGAAAAAGGGTTTTGAGTGTTTTATGTATTGGGGTGTGAGAGTTCGTGAGGGTTCTCGTTATAATTATATTAAGAGTGCAATGTTTGAGCTTCTAGGTGGAGCTGTGAGTTTTGTACTTAGGTGGTACAAGTATTTTGTACTTTGGTAGTACGTGTAGTACTTTGGTGGTACGAGTGAATCTAAGTGTGGTGCATAGATTGGGTAGGATAGGGTCCTATCAAGTAGCAAGTCCAGTGAGGAACTTGTGAAATAATGGTCCGTGTTTAATATGTTGTAACTTGGTGTTTTCCCTATTATAGTGAAGTGTTTTGTGTTTGAAATCCCTAAGGTAGGGTCGAGGTTTTACTTCCAGTTGGGCCCTGGATGGTTTCCTCGTAAAATCCGCTTTGCATTGTCTAAGTTCCTAACAGCAATCAGTTTTATATTCCGCAAAAAGTAGGCACTAGGAACATACTACAATTCACCCCCCCCTCTTGTAGTATATCATCCGAAAAAACAATTGGTATCAGAGCCAATGCTCTAGATTAAACCAGGTAACCCCGAGAAGCAAGTTCCAGGCTAGGATGTATATCTATGAGAAATGCAGCAATTGGAACTCAGCCCGAGAATGTTCCCAACTCCACATTAAGACCAAAATCTTCTTGTAAAGCAGAAGTAGTTCAAAGATTAACATCTTTGAGGTAAGTGTTTTGTCTTTGAATTCTTTGTTATATGCATGTTATTATGTGTGCGAGTTCCTTGCGGTATTTTTAGTTAAATTGTTGATTTTATTATTAATGTTTTTAAATAAATTTTGTGTCACCTCAAATCTGATTTGAGTGTATTCAAAAATCATTTTTTCAGATTTATAAATTGATTTATCAATAAAGAATCTGTTTACTGGAAATAGTTTAAGGAACTTATTGTTTAGAATTATGCATATTTGGTCTTTTGGAACCTGGACTACCCTTGAATGGAAACTTAATTCTTTAGGCAAGGTAATAAATGAATATTTTGAATATTTGCCAAAGAATGACCTTATCATGTGTTTTTATTATTCTGAATATTTATTATGTAGACACATGATGTTTATTGTTAGTAAAGATAGTTGGCTTAATCGTAGTTGTTTTAATTATGCATTATTGACGACTATTACTAACAAGAAGGTACCCAATATATATTGGGTAACCAAAGCCAAAAGGTGAATGATTTTACAGGCTATGTGAGTGGAGACAACCTATTAATAATGATGATACTTTGGTTGTTTGTATATAAGGAATTATGCGCAAGTTCCTCTCACTAGAGAGCCTTTATAAGAGGTTTGTAGTAGGTGAAGCGACAATATGGAAAAGTGTGTAAGTCGCCTATACTTCTCTATGTAAATATTGGTCATTTTCTTTTGGTATATATCTTAATCCTTCACAGATTCCCGTTGAAATTCAATTACATATTTCCAAGGTGGTATTTGTGAATGGATGTAAAAGATAAGGTGTTTTGAAGCTTATAACGTATATCTTGACAAACTAACTTCTCTTCTAGTTTTGTGCTGGTTATTAATGATTGTTTTGTAGGTTTTTCCATTGAGATAAATCGGTGCATAAACGTTTATTCTATTAGGAACTCAGTGCTTAACTTTGTTGGAACTTGGTGAACTTGAAAGGACAAAACAAATTAGGGATACAGGAACAACAAAGCTTCTATATCAAGATGCAATAGGAGTTAAAGTATAAGTTTCTGTTCAGCTTCTTCTTCAAGTTCCAGTCAAGTTCCTATCGTTCAAAGTTCCTTGGAACAAAGCATAAATTCTTGTAGTAGACCCTTATAAAGGATGATAAAGCAAGATAATTATCTTTGAATATGTGTGAAGTTTCATAATTTCATTTATAGAATGACATCCAAAAGGGAGTATTCTTACAAGAACTCTATGCTTCAAAACTTTTATGCTTTAGGTTTAATCTATATCTTTTGACTAACCTACTGACTTTTTGGATGCACAAAGGAATCTCTTGGGTTTTGATTTTTCAGGATATATCTTTTGAATGAATATTTGAGGAACTTTGACAATGTGTTGAAGAATAAGAGATCAAATCAACATGTTCCTCAACCCAAGATACAAAGGTCAAAGGACCAGAAGAACATGTTCCAATCTGATATCAATAGGAACATGAACAATTGAAGGTGCATAGTAGGAAGGAACTCGTCCTATCTCGACAGCAAGGTTCCAAAGGAATGATGATTGTCAAATTAAGATATTTCTTGCTATAAACCTACAATGGAAGAAATTTGACTTATAAGACTAACACAAAAGGTAAAATGGTTGCATAACAGGTGGTTAGTAAGTCAAGTTCCAATACCATTGTGAACATTTTTCTTGTCGAGTTTCTGATGCACATTTTGGTGTTTAAATGCTTGGAACTCTAGATGTTTTACGAAATAATTCTATGCTTCAAACTGTAAACATGTTAATATTTTTATGCTCGATAAACCTAGTAGGAACTCGATAATAGGTATATGTATACGTAAGTTCCAAACAGGTAAAAATTGAGAAGCATGAGGATTAAAACATGTTATATTCTCTTTTATTATCGGGTAGATGGTAAGCAACACTAATCCATTGGATCTTAGTGATATGGATTTGTTTATCATGTGATATTTAGAGACTAATTGAAAGATATGTCTTGTTTATAAGTAATGAACGCAAATGGACACTTGGTTACTTTTCTTAATAGAAGAGATGATGAACTGTTTGTTGAAAGTCTTTTTTATCACAGGGTTTGTGGCTAAATGTTCATCATTTATGAAGTTATGGATCTAACAATGGAACCTAGTTCCAGTCATGTTTGATGTTTGTAGTAGGAACACAGGATTGACAACAAGTTTCCAACTTTGAATCATGAAAGACATGAAGAGAACAAAGTTATATACTAATGGTCTTTGCAGGTTCTTTGGAATAGTTTTCAATGTCGCTCATCATCAACACTGAAGCAATAGATCTTTGGTTAACAAGACACCGTACCCTATGTTCCACTTAGGGATATTTAATGATACAAGTGCCAAGGCGATTTATCCATAAATGCCTAGAACAGTAAAACATAAAGAGTTTACACTTTCATGTTTAATGTGCAATAAGTGAACATATTTTGAGACTAACAGGTTTGTTCCCATCAAGCAGGTTATAAAAGATGAACTCACATGTTCTTGTAGAACTACCTGAGTTCCTAGTAAAGAAATATGTCACTAAGGATAACAGCAAGGGCTAGCTACACATGTTGAGGAACTTTTAGATGTTAAGTTCCAGCTCATGCAGCAAAGTTCAATGAACTCAATACAAGAAAGCAAGTTCCGACGAAATTCCAGAGTT